AGCTATCATTACTGTATGATAGTACAAGAAACATAAGAAATAATAGTGTAATTTTTTTTTTAAAAAAGGTTGTGTCTAAACGTCAGGCAGTCGAATTTTTTTCTTAACAAATCATCGAAAAAAAACGAAATTACAGTAGTTCCGACTATCTTTAGACAATCTGTAATCTTAAGGCAATTTAAGTTAATTTTTAAGGCAGGTTTGAACATTTCAAAGGCAAGGAAGCAGACCTTTTGATAATGGATACTTTGAACGAAGCGCAAGCAAAGTCTTACCTTGTAATGACGAGTTTTTTGCAAAATCTTCAAAGTCGTCAGAGAGGGAGCTAAGCGAAGCCGTTTGGTTTCAGATAGAAAGTTGCCCGTGTCTGGATCCTGTAGAGCAGCGAATGGTACCATGAAMAAAGGGCCATCCGGAATAATGACAATTTCCTCTGTGGTCAGCTTGTCAAGCACTGGTGTAATTAATCGGTAAAACAGCATTTGCAATGGCTTGTCATCGTCTTCTTCCATGTAGACACATCTTAGAAATTCTCGGCAATCTTTGGATGAAAGCCCAATGGTTTTTGAAGGGATTTTACAAGATGCAGAGTCAAGGTCTTCACTCTGTAGTGACTCCAACGATCGGTCCTCACATTTTATTTGTTCTCTAACACTCATCTGAAGAAAGCTGTTTTCAACAAGATGTTTCAAATATAAATGTTCAATCCTCGTTTCCTCTTCTTGAGACAGATTGGATATGATTTTTTCAAAAGCTTCGCGTTCTTTTATTTCATTATAAAAGAAGATTGAATTTGAACGAGCASATATAACCCAGAATCGTGTTGTCAGTTTGTTTCGATGAAGATCATAAAAAATRATGCTGGTATCACCACTGGACRAAACTKTCTTGACATCATCTAGCTCCAACGCTTTTTGTTTTGATGGGCATCTTTCGGTCGTGTTGTATTTYAAGCTTAAGAGATCTCTTAAAGCACGGGCTCGTCCTCTTTCAGATACCAGAAGAGCCTTTCCTATCCGTTTATTTTCCAGTTGAACTACGATAAGACACTTGTATGCTTTAACATAGGTATCCACAAAAGAAATCTTCAATTGGTCTTTTTCTCTCAAGTCATCAAACATCTTTTCATAGCAATCAATGCTGTTTTGGAGATGTTCATCAGCTTTGTCGAGGTTTTTGATGCTTGATTCTTGCATATAGCAAACTCCTATGGATACACAAGTACATGCATGTCAATCAATTAATCAATKAATCATTCACAAGTACACGCATGTCAATCAATCAACCAATGGGGGCTATAAGTAACGGACRTTTCCTAAGCTTCCGTYACTGCTTCGTTCTCCCGCGCTCTCAACAATCTTTTTTTCAATACTAAGGGTTTTTTCATGATAATCAATATAGACTGGTGATATTCCCTAATAATTCATAACCATTACCTATGCTTCCTTGATTGCCTCCTTCTCCCGCTCTGTTGCCAATTTCTTTTGCAATGTTAACGCTTTTTTTATGATAATTAATAGCCTTCTGATATTCTCCTAATGATTGATATGCATTTCCTAAGTTTCCGTAACTRCTTCCTTCARTTGCTCTATCACCAATCTCTTTTGCAATGCTAAGGCTTTTCTCATTATAATCAATAGCCTTTTGATATTGTCCTAATGACACATAGGGATTTCCTAAGTTACAGTAACTTGTCATTTCCCCCGCTCTGTCACCAATCTCTTTTGCAATGTTAAGGCTTTTTTCRAGATAATCAATAGCCTTGTGATGTTGTCCTGATGACTGATATGTATTTCCTAAGCTTCCGTAACTSCTTCCTTCTCCYTCTCTGTTACCAATCTCTTTTGCAATGTTAAGGCCCTTCTYGAGATATTCAAATRCCTTGTGATATTCTCCTAATAATYGATAAGCTTCTCCTAAGTTTCTGTAACAGCTTCCTTSTCCCGCTCTGTTACCAATCTCTTTTTCAATGCTAAGGCACTTTTCATAACAATCAATAACCTTGTCATATTCTCCTAATGACTCATAGGYATTTCCTAATCTTCGGTAACTGCTTCCTTCAATTGCYCTATTACCARTCTCTTTTGCAATGCTCAGGCTTTTTTCATGATAATGAATGGCCTTGTGATATTCTCTTARTGATYCATAAGCACTTCCTAARCCTSCGTAACAGCTTGCTTCTCCTGCTCTGTTGCAAATCTCTTTTGCAATATTAAGTCCTTTTTCAATATAATCAATACCCTTCTGRTATTCTCCTAATGAATTATATGCATTTCCTAAGTTTCCGTAACTGCTTCCTTCAATTGYTYTATTACCAATCTCTTTTGCAATGCTCAGGCTTTTCTCACTAYAATCAATAGCCGTTTGATATTGTCCTAATGACACATAGACAACTCCTAAGCGTCCGTAACAGCTTCCTTCTCCTGCTCTGTTGCCAATCTCTTTTTCAATGATAAGGCTTTTCTCATGATACTCAATAGCTTTTTGATATTCTCCTTGTAATTCATAGGTAGTTCCCAAGATTCTGTAATTCCATCCTTCTCCCTTTCTGTTACCATTCTCTTTTGCAATGCTAAGGCTCTTTTCATGATGTTCAATTGTCTTGAGATGGTTTCCCAATGAGGAATAGGCATTACCTAAGAGACTGTTTATGTTCTCTTTCATTATTTTGTCATCAATAGTTTTAGCAATGGTGAGGGTCTTTTCATAGCATTCAATGGCTTTTTTGTATTCCCCTGATTTGAAATAAACAYTGCCCAACATCCCGCAAACTTTCATAACTGKTTTGATATCTTGAAAGTACGTTRCCATCACTAAACATTCTTCCAATAGGCAGATWAKGGAATCATCGCTCAGGTCGGTCAGCCACTCATAAGCCACACAGATAAGACAGACACTAATTAAGAGCTTGACTTTTTGAATGTCCAACATCGCTGCTTAAACTATGGTTACCTTAATACAGCATTTTAGTCAGATATCAGAAGTCTAGAAGAGAAAAAAATGTGTGGTAAGTTTTTTTTATCTACTTTTCATCTTGATTTAGAAACTTAAATTGAACAACATAAATATCCTGAGTTGAATGAGATGTTGTATGGACGCGCAATAGTGATCCACGCCGCCGCAAAAATGATCCCTGCCACGTTAGTAATTTATCCCAGTCAACGCGCGGATTTTGTCAACCGTTAGAAAAGGAAGTGCAAAAAAAGAGGGCATTTTAAAGTGTTTATTTTTATATCATCTTTATTAGTTGACGACACTAATTTTGTGGTCATGCGTTGCTCGCATGCATACATCTTTCTTGATTTTCAATCATTTTGTGCGCGCGCTCAATTTTTTAGGACTTTCTGAACGATTTGATGAGAAATAYAAGATGGCGGACAAAACGTTAAGATTTCAGTGATTGTTTTAGAAGTTGGTGATGAATTAAATTGGAAAAGCTGGGGCAGAAATAAAGATATGAACGCGGCTCAAAAATGAGACCAAAATTTGACCTGTATAAAATATATGTTTTACATCCATTTGCCAGCATCAATGTTAGTAAAGATGGACTACTTTCGATAGAAAATCGATGAAATGAAAATACAACAGTTCATGGAAATTGAAATTTTGAATAATCCAGTTTCGAATTCTCCAATGCTCTGTGTTAGCCTCATTTGTGCGCAAAATATTCCTAATTGTGAGAATAAAAGGTGTGAGATTTCAAATGAATTCCATTGTTTTTCTTTTCAAATTCCATGCGTTTTCTCGGGCTATCAATGAAACAAAAGAATATGTTGCTTGGTTTTGAGGCTAACACAGAGCAAACCAGAACTCGATATCGGAGTATTGAGGTAAAATGTATTTTATTACAAAAAAAAAAAAAAAATTTGAATCAAATGCTCTGCTTGGGTTGTCTGTGGTTAATCCTGGTACAGTGAAACGGTATATCTACTATTTCTATTTCTCTTGAAATATTACCCTGTCCAAAACACACACAAAAAAAATCTAAATTATAGAGCCTGTTTAAGACAATTTCGGGTGAAATGTGTACCCTGTTTAGGTACGTCCCTGTATAGCAAAGATATGGGAGTACCAACCCACAACTCATTTTGAGTAGAAATCTGTTCAAAATAGCTTGYTGTTGAAAAGGGTTGTAATTGATAAGAAATGCGGCATTCATGTCATCCATAAACTCTCTAACTTTTGAACAGTTTGACATAGTTAGTGTCTTCTCTTTGAAGCATTTAACTGTTGTCACAAAGATGAACATTGTTCCATACATCTAAGAATCTGTTTCTACTCATCTTGGAAAAGGCTGGTACCCCTAAAATCCAGTCAGAAGACCAGTCATCTCTCAGWGAAGACAACTTATGAAGGCTCATGGCAACAAGAAGACCTAAAAATGCTTTCAGTTCATCTAATGAAACAGGGTCCTTATTAGTGCACATATTTTTTTTTAATCTTTAAAATCCATGCCATAGTCACAAAAGAAGATCAATAATAACGCAATTAATAGTTCTATAGTTGATGCTCGAAGTATTTAAGGCTATATCTTTCCGGATTGGGCATTCTGATTACTAATTTATTACKGAAGTGAATAAAGCCCGAATAAAGTTGCATGTGTTTAGTCCTTTAAGTACTGTGCATGTGTTTTATTACCTTTTGAGAGTTTGCAGTCTTCTGTGTTTCAAAAGTTATGTTATCAAAAGTCTATGTTGTCACAAACAGATCTTCATCTCTTGTTTTGGTGTAAAAGAACTCTGAAGATCCGATGTCATGAAACGTAGGAAAGCGAAAGAAAACCGCTCTCGCAAAGCCTGCTTTGTACAATCATGAACGTCATGCAATTCACTTACGTAAATATTCTCGAGGAAAATACAGGATGGCAACATGATATTGAGGATAGGGAAAATAGAAAGCAAAATCTCTGCTAAATATAAATATTTGTTTTGAATCACTCGATGTCGATGTGGAGAAGGATAAGTGAAAGTGGAGTACATACCCTTTCGTTCTACGTACCTCTACCTTAAAACGAGTTGTTTCTTCTTGAAAGTGTTCGACGCGAGTTAGACAAGCCGCCAATGATGACCCAACTCAAAGATTGTTTACTATGCTGGGAGCAAAAGTCTGGATGCAATACCAGAATTTGTTCAGAGATGGACTACTTTCGATAGAAAATCGATGAAATGAAAATACAACAGTTCATGGAAATTGAAATTTTGAATAATCCAATGCTCTGTGTCAGCCTCATTTGTGCGCAAAATATCCTAATTGTGAGAATAAAAATGTGAGATTTCAAATGAATTCCGTTGTTTTTCTTTTCAAATTCCATGTGTTTTCTCGGGCTATCAATGAAACAAAAGAATATGTTGCTTGGTTTTGGGGCTAACACAGAGCAAACCAGAACTCGAAATAGGAGTATTGAATAATTAGGCATCCATAACACCCTAAAATATATACTTGTATTGACAACTTTCACACTGATACCTGACACTAATTAGCATATTATCATTAAATTCATTATGTTGACAAAAGAAAACACTCTGATGATAGATATCAAAGCTAAAAATGCGTTCTGAATCTCTCACAGAAAAATATTGAATCCTCTTGAAGTTACAAGGGCGAGAAGAGGAATAAAAACACCAAAGACTCAGCAAATAATTTCATACAAAATCATTGTATTTTTGTTCCTCCATAACTTAATTAGTATTTTGTCGATATCTTCAAAACTTTTCACAAATACCTATTTCTGATAGTTATTCCATTTTGACAGTGCTACGCTGTTTCATAATAGTGTTAGAATAGTTCGGTATTGATCGTTTCCAATCATTCCTGTGACTGATTCAAAAGATAAAAGATCAGCGGCCATGTTGGAAGAATGAGCAAAATATACTAATGAGAAATCCTTTATTGAAGTTCCTCCAAGATGGMCGCGAAATTAAATAAGATAAATTGACCGCAAAAAGGAGCGCTAGCAGGCTAGTGTCTTTGATGCTTTAATACAAACTTTATATTGTTTTGTACAAAATGTACTCTTTTAATCATCTTTATTTTAATAAAATAGCTTACATATTATCATCTTGTAAAATATATCCCTATAATTTTTGATTGCTACTTAACAAGGTTGTCATTATTCTCTATTATTCTTTAACAAAACTAGCCTCCTCCGCAAGTGTCCATTTCCTTTCTTAAAATAACGGGCTTCCTGTGTCAGACCAAACCGAAATATATTGCCTGATTTCATACCGTGGGAAACTGGRTGCAATTCCCTTAGTTGGCTTAATGGATTAATACRATGGATCAATATAGAATCAAATGACGTATAGAGAAATAATAACTTTCCGAATTTGGCGTTGATTGGTTYAATATTAAACAATTTACAGCCTCTCAAAAGCGGCCAATCGTTTACATTTCATCGGATTAACACCAAATTTTGTGAGTTTCTTATTTGCAGTGCGATCTTTCGTTTTATATAAGTCTTATTTACCCATCGTGCTAATTAAGGGACTGATACCCAGCCTCCCATGGTATGAAATCGGGCAGTAAAAACTGGAAAAGCGAGATGTCTGCGGAGGAGTCTATAACAAAACATAGTATAATCTCAGTACAACTATTGAGTCTCAACCGAGACAATTGAAAATAACCAAACAACAGACTTGAATTATGACATCTGATTGATGGCAACAATATCCAATCAGATTACACCATACTATGGCCAATATGTTATCCTTGAAATTTAATTGTATATTCAATCTCCCGCCTTTTTGACCAAAATTAAAATGTTGAATCTTTTGTCCCCATTTGTCAAAGAAACATTTAGATAGAATGGTATAAGTCCTCTCGTCGTTGTGATAACGTTCAGTACACTATTTCATGAATCATTTACGATAATTAGCGGAGTAAAATAAAAACAAATTTGGTTGCACGCTCCRAATTAAACTCAAAAATGTAAAACTTATATGCTGACAAAACATTTCAGACAGCCAAATGACAAATACTCCATTTTCGAATTCAAACCGAAAAACTGCTGCTATATTTGACAGCAGATTGTCTTGCGCAAAGAACTTACCAAACGCAAAAGAGAGCACGAGAGTTGAGAATAACCCTGTATTCCCATAATGACCTAAGTTTTTTGCCATCTGGGAATACAGGATTTGCGTCAACTTGGGGAAAATGTATATTGTTAGCKCTATTGCACTAACATTTGCTAACATTTGCTTTCATTTAAATTTGGTAATGTCTTTGCGTAAGAGAATCTGCTGTCAAATAAAACAGCGGTAATTCGCTTTGAATTCGAATGTRTAGTATTATGCACACATTGCATTTCTACAACGATTAAAGGTCAATGTTTTGGAAAAGGTACAAAAGCAAAGTTTATCTGTTTTTCTTTTGTGTGTTTTGAAACGTTGAAGCGTTTGCACCAAGTACAATAACGTGGTAAGTCTGTCACGTGATATRTCACATGACATTTCTGTCATGTGATATATTTTGATTATTCCTTTGTGAAGGTTACTGATTCTAAATTTTCTATAATAACTTTTTTTGGTATTCTGATAGGTAAATGTTTTACTACAAAAATACATGCATTTTGGACTTCAACCAAAAAATGGCGTCAAGATTACAAAGACTTCAGTTTATGTGCCTAAAAGATAAAAATACAGATTAATAATAAATGGAAGTTTCAGTGTCCTAGTTCCATTTATAGCGGAGATACAAGCGATTTTATGGTCGGATGACCACATACAAACGCTTGTAAATTTGCTCTTGTTCCTTTCGTTATGAACAAGACCAAATTTACAAGCGCTTGTATGTGGTCACCCGACCATAAAATCGCTTGTATCTCCGCTACAAATGACACTATAAGACACTCATATTTAGAAAGGATGTATTAAAAATAATGCACTTTCAGAATATGGAGGRCAAATTTCAAAACTCAAACATTTTCGTTTTGTGACGTCATCACTTTAGTACTCTATATAATGAGGTTAAATATGCTATGAAACTTAGAACATGTACAAACGTGGCACATGTTAAATTTAAGTTAAAAAATCATCAGTGAAGGAAAATGTTTATGTTATATTCTATATGACAATTTGTGTTTTTGTCCCCTGGACATCCAAKAATTTCTTCAAAATTCAAGATGGCGTCCGTATTAGTAAAAAKKTCTATTGTTTCGTCCCTTAGATGTCACGCGCACATACAAGTGTCTAGAATTAATGAATGCTACCTTTTATAGATCTTGACGGCCTTGGTACAAAGGGTAATATCCGTATTTTCCATAGATCTTCTCTTTTTTCTTTTATCGCCAATATATGAATGAAGCATTCTCTTAATGTCGGTTTTCCATGGTACAAGGGGATTCCCCTGTGCTGCATCAGCTGCCATGACTTTAGCAATGAATTCACGCCCTGTTGCTGTCAATCATCAAAATTAAAAGACATGTAAAWCTTAATTGTTAGAATGGAGTTGTACTTCATTTGAAAAGTAAACTGTTTTTAATTATGTTACTTTATTTCAGGATGAGAACCGCCAGGGGTTTTTTTTTAAAGAAGGCTGTTGAATGGACGTAATGACACGCGGCTCCAAATAAATACCGGTACGTTWTTCTATACTGTGTTCAAAGTCTGAAACGTGGCAAAATGGCTTAGCTTCATGAGCGTATCTTGCAATGTTTGTAGAGAAAATTTCAATTCTTTTGCCCTGATAGTATGTGGAGCCCCAACAGCCCTTCATTCCTATTTCTCTCATATATCAGTCAATTTGCGACCTCTAAGTACCTATATATACAGGGACCTTTATATTGTTGGGTTGGGCGTTGATTGTTCTGTTAAAACAGTGTTTATCCCAGCCCCATGACTCTTCTTCCTACCCTTATCATCTTCCCTCCTTGCATTTACCTGTGTTTTCGAGACAGGCTCGTTTGTCGATTGTCTTTTTATCTTGAGCTGATATCCTGACTAATACTGCATAGTGGTAATACATCCATTCTTTTTGTGCTGGGCCTCCCAGGTACTCTTTAGGATGGGGCTCTTTCATATTCTGACAAATGATGCTAAGATGGCATTTGTCCCTTGCTTTGATGACATATTCTCCGTCTTCGTTACCAATGCCGTATGATCGTATTTCTTCACACGAGTGAGGTATGCCTAGAGATATGGTTCGTATGAAGTTATGTAGTTATTGTATGTTAGTAATTTGCAGGCTGCTCTTTTTATATAGTTCCATGTGTGCTTGAAAGATAGCGTTCCCTTGTCAATCGAGTTGCGAAAAGAGAAATTATCCGAACAATGATCGCTAACTGTTAATTATTGAGCTTAGTCATAATCACATATTAATCACTGCAAGTGTATTGCGTTATTGCGCGGATCTTTGCAAAGCTACTGCTACTTATCAAGATTAACTGCACGATTGATCCTTTTATTCGCAGACAGGTATACTCCTATTCATCCATGCCTAACCGATTCCTTCCTTCTTTTCTTCTTCATTCGAGTTGTCAGCTTTCGTTATCCTTTCTCTCGCTTCTCTTTCTCTGCATATTTCTTTCATTCGTTCGTTGGTCTATTCCTCATTCATTCCTTTCTGCTCTTGTGTGGTGGCGTCCTTCATCCCTTTCTTCTTTCTCTTGGTCACTATCTCCCTCCCTCCCTCCCTCCCTCCCTCCATCCCTTGCTCTCTTCCTCCCCCTCTCTTTCTCCCACCTTTCATAAATTGCTTCAGTTTTCCTTCCCTCTTTGCATTCATGTTTTCTATATTCATTACCTCTTGGCAAAGGTACAACACCAGGCTGGTACTTAACAACAGGAGGATTTGCAGGAAGAATTGGGACTTCACTATATGAAGGCGCTTGAGAAGGAGCTGCAGCGGTCGGACTGGCTTGGTTCGTATAGCTTGTCTGGTTGATTGGGGTCGTATAACTAGTCTGTCCGGTATAACTGGTTTGATTGTTWGCTAACAATGGGGGTATTTCTGGTGGTGTCACACTAGTTTGACCTGTTTGATCTGTTTGGCTAGTTTGATTGGTCAATGCGGTATAACCTGGATAACTAGTTTGGCTGTTTGGTAGATTGGATTCGTCGGCTGGTGGAGTATAGCCGGATTGACCGGTGTAGCTGGTTTGGTTGACTTTCGTGGTCAAGCTAATGGTTGGACCAGCTGGTGGAGTGTAACCTGTTTGTCCTGTATAGCCACTTTGYGCTRCAGTGTTTGCTTGACTTGTTTGATTATTGAACCAATCTGTAAAACATAATGCAGTATTTGTCATTGATGRCTTTCTTAACGACAATATAATCGTCTTTGGCGGTATTATATTACTTACTTGGACTCGTTGGTGCGGCTGTTGGTGCTGGGTTTGAATCAGCTTTTTTACCAGCTAAGGAATTAACAGTTTTAAAAGTTAAATAGAGAATATTACATGGGCGAGTGGAAATAGCTATTTATACTGGTGGTTTATACATTAGCCTCCAATGTAAAGGCAGTGAGATTCGTTTTTTCTTCTTAAATCCCCTCTCTCTTCTCGATTTGTCCACAGGAAACCCGAATTTGTTTTTAGAAAACCTAAAAGCGGATTTCCTTTGGAGAAGGCTAGTCATTGATAGGCTTCTATAGAATAAAGCTTACTGTATATTGGAAATCCTCCAAGAAATCCATTGGTCATAGCGTCCTGTAAAGGTTTCAGTGACGGTGTCAGCTCTGTAGGAAAGGTCAGTTCGTAATTCACTTGAATCTTGCCGTCGGGTGAGCGACTAAATATAAAACAATAGCTTTAGTTTCAAGAGATAAAATCATGTACAAGTCATAAAGAGAAATAGCCTGTGTACATCCGTTTGTGGGTCGGTGAGAAACGGATGCACACAGGCTAAAGAGAAATAGAAATTTGACCACACATTGCAATTAGTTTTGACTTTACTAGGTCATCAAGGTCTTTTTACTAGCACCGAACCTCAAATATGTTGAAGTTGATGCAAACGAGATCAAAATGAACAGAAAAAATGCGATAAAAGTTTCTCATAAAAAATGGTCTTACCCTAAACCTAAGATCTTTACTCCGACATCATATGGAGCATAAGCATCCTTTATCTGCATAAGAAATTAGATATCATTATATACAAAATTTCGGCCTAGCGGGGAAGGGTGAAGGGGAAGATCGTCTAGGAGGAATTTACTTTAAGAGTGCATAGTAGACCTTTTTACCAAATATATGGCGCCATCTTAAATTCTATTAGGTATCGATTCAGAAAGAAACTATGGGATGGCCAGGAGGAACTAAACAAGAAATATTAATAGGCTATTGGGCTTTTAGAATCGATGAGATTAAATATATTATATATCTATATCTTGAAACGTGAAAAACAAACACGTTTAGATGTTATGAAGTAATAATTTGAATTTTGAAGCACAAAATTTGTCAGTGAAAGTAATTTTAGGTACTAGAGCAAACGCAGGAAAACCATAAAATAAAATCAAACTAAATTCTAACAAATAGCAGCTATTTAGAGACAAATTGTCAGTGTCAATGAACCAGAACATAATGAGATGAATCCACATGGGACCATTTTTCAATCATCTTTATTGCGTTCTGGTTCATTGATACTGACAACTTGTCTCTAAATAGGCGCTATTTGTTAGTATTTAGTTTAATTTTATTTCATGGTTTTCCAGCGTTTGCTCTATTCTATATAAACCACAATTGTGCTTTTGCACCCTGGACATCCCATGGTTTTTTCAAAATTCATGATGGCAGCTGTATTAGTAAAAAGTTCTGAGTGATTTTTACAAGAAAAAATGAAAATGAGATCTTGAAGCTTTCGTCTTTATATGCATTTTCAAAAACGCATGTGTCCAAAGAAGTAAAACATTTTTATTTTGTTGCATTCAAGGAACTACTTACCGCCTTAGCAATATCATCAGAGAGTATCTTATCAGTAGCACTTTGGATATTGTCCATAAATGGATACCATGTCTGATCCAAAATGAAGTTGCCAGTCAGTTTTTTAGCTGCCAAGTAAATAACATTGTTAGTCGAATTAAACACCGGAAGAGCGACATATCGCATCAACTTACGTTGGGGAGGAGCTGGGGTTGTTTGGATGAACGCCTGAGTAGGAACTGGTACGGCTGGCGTTGCTGACGGAGCTGGTGGTTGAGCAGGCGCTTCAGCTGATGCTTGAGCCTGTACCAGTGGAGGTGGGTGGTACGGTACAAACCCTTTAGTTGGGCGTGGTTCTTGCTCTTTAGGCGGTGGTCCAGTGCCTGGTATTTGGCCGTCTGCGGAAAATGATATCAAGAAATATGAGAAAAAAATCTCATGGTTTTCGTTTTCAATAAATTGTGTTCACTGCATTTTCAGCAAGCATATCATCGCCATGTTTTATTATTGTGCAATTGTGTTGTCAGGTGTTGTCATGGCTGCAAAATGTTTCCATGTCAACTCTGTGTTGTCATAAATGCATGGGTACCATTTTGATAAGGTGTCTTTGTGATAAACCTTTTGTTTCAGCTGTGTTGACATGGGTTAGGTGTGGCGGTCTCGTGTCAATTTGTTATCATAACTTAAAATTATTTTATGTGTCTCTTTGGGGCGGAAGTTTTGAAGGGGGTTTCGGGGCACATTATAAATTTTGTCTGTCTGAATTATAAAGGTCCTTTGTATATGTATATTTTTCCAGGAATTCCCCACAAGGTGGTACCCCACGCGGAATCCGCCCCTGTATCTACAAATTCTATGACGAGCARAATAAACTGCAATATCAGCTTAAAGGTTATTACTTTTAGGTAGATGATGGGATTTTTGATAGACCAACTTACTAAGGTAATCATTGAAGATTGGTATGTCTCCAAGAAAACCTGACTTAACAAGCTGTAGCATCTTGTCCTCGGGGTTGTTTTCGCCAGGTTTGAATCTCAGCATGATGCGGACAAACGGGTGTGCGTCTGGCCCATTACTGCAGATTAAAAAAAACATTTCTTGAGAAAGAGAATAACTGCATGGTGTTTACAGCGAAACAGTTGCGAGAACAAAGTGCAACAAAACATTTTTCCAGTGTAATAGAGGGAAAGAAAGGCTACTGTCATTTCGGACATTAATGGTTAGATGTTAGAGAAAAAGAGAAAGCTTTTTCATAGTGGAGTAAAAGTCAAATAAGTTTWCAAAACGCCAGTAAGGTTTCCAGCGTCGAAGTTTTTACGGTGTACAATTTATTTCTTTCCACAGCTGTTGGTTGAGAAATGTGGACAATAAATCAAGTCGAGATGCAATGTTATATAGTTAGATAGCCCTGAGGTATAGAATCTGCTGTTAAGGGTTTCCTGTTGTATCTGAAAAAAACTGAGTGCCTTGTATACCAGGGACATGATGATGATTTTTTCTTCTCATCCCAAGTACCACATCTTCATGACATCTTAGCATCCTATTAAAGTCTACCACAGGAAACCCGTTGAACCGAGTGTACCTGATTTCATACCTTATGCTTTCAACTTTGTCGTCCACAAAATTGGGCTCTTTGTCGAAAATGATCTTGAGCTGAGGGCAATGAAACAATCAAGTCAATGACAAACAATCGAAAAGATTCTCAATAAAACTGAACGGGATCAATATGATTGAAATGATCAAACGTTCGATCGAAAAAAAACTGATAAATGATTAGACATTCTGATCTGTGGCAAATGTATGATTTATAAAGTAAATGGCTACGTTTGAATGCTGCATTCTTACTATTTTTTGTATGTGATCGKYAAGGCTTTTTGTTTTGTTGTCGTTTTGGTCACTAAGKCGCTGATCCCAAGGCTGCTTTAGCTTGATGTCGAATTGGAATTCTTGATCTGGAATTAAAAATGGAAGAGGTGTYTAATTCAGTCTTAACACAGTTAATRTACTATTTATATTAATTCGCTGTCCAGTAGTTGGTCTTGTTGTGATTGTTGGGGGAGATTCAACTTACATTTTTATATATATTTTTTYCYTTTTTTTCCGGTTGTATTTCACTAGCCAAGGCTATAATATTGATCCGATCGAGACTCGTTCTTAGTGCCTCCTTATCAAATCTTGTTTTCGTTGCCACTGTTGCTCAGCTGTGCAAATTGTGGCAGTATRCACTGAATCGCAACCGAACTTTCTGCATTTGCTGTCGTAGTTGTTGTCAGTTGGTATTGTTCCTATGTGTTACTTGTTGCTGTTGTTGTAGAGTTCATTGCAGTCGTSATTGCTATTGTGGTTGTAGTTTCTATTGCTGTGATGGTTGCTTCAGTTGTCAATGATTGCTACTGCGGTAGCTCTGCTTTTGTTGTTGCTTTTGATGTCGTTGTTGTATGTATGTATTAAAAGTGTTATGCTAGCTGATTATGGCATTGTCGTTTGTTCATGCTGACATTTCTCGCGAGCTTCTCGCGGGGGGGACTTCCCTATAAAGCAAGGTAGATATGCTCGACGGGCGGATTGAAAAATGACCCTAAAAGGTGCGCATAAATTACTTCAGGTATCGATTCCAGACCCTAAAACACTAAAAGGTACCAGTATTTTTGACGTCTTTAACAAGAGAAAAGATCAAGTTTAACAAACTGTAGAAAATCAATGTCGGTAGATTGTTGAGGTAAATAAAATCTATTTCTTTAGTAAAACTTCTTTAATTTTTTTCCGTCGTTCAAAAAATGACCCAAAAAGGTACRGTGTCATCTCAGGACCGTAAAAAGTACGCGAGGGTTATATTTTTGACCCTTGAAAGATCCGTCGAGCATACCTACCATGCTTTATATAGGGATGTCCCCCCACGAGACATTTCTACGTGCTTCTGTGTCTATATATACTCACATGGTCCCTTGTATCCTGCTGGTGCTGCTGCCGCCGGTGGTGGCTGAGATGGTTGTGGTACTATCGGTGAKGAAGATGGCCTTACTGCGGCTRCATCAMGTGATTTGTTYGRRACTGCTGGATTGACTGCTGGTTTGGCAGCTGCATTGTTATCTTAAGAACATTATTAAAATTCAATATCATATGTATGCTAAGTGTTTCTTCTACTCGATAAAGCTGATTTATAAAGGAATATATGGAAATTTACTCTTTTAATAGATTTGTCTTTGTTGTATCCTTAGTGAACGAGCTCAGCAAATATTGCATTCTATACTTCATTATATAATAATAAATTACTGATGTTTTGAAACAGAAAAGAATATATTGAAATTTACTCTTATTTCTATGAAATTCATGAACAGAGTTCATTAAAACATTTTACTTCGGATTTATTCCGTATCTATATTAATAAGTTTATTTTCCTTACTGAGAATAACGAAGTAATACTTGTAAACTTCCATTCCAGATATCCTTCCTGTCTCAACAATGGCTCTTAAGTGTCTCAGAGGGTCTTCCTCGTTTTGGTCGAAGTCAAACTCTATATCGGCCAAGACTTKTTTGTCTTGAGACTCTCTAAACAGATTTCAACAATAGTTAAACAATGACTTAAAGACAATGTATTCTCTGATTTGATATTTCTAGGAAATCTGACGCACTTTCTTTTTCGTAACTGTAAAACATTTATTTCTAGAAATTCTGAGCACTGTGGCTGTAAACCAATTTCTAGGAAACTTGTTGAGACACGCGCGCTAATTTAATTGATTGGTGAACAATTCACCGATCCCTTCTTTACATAGATTAATCACCAAACAATGAGTTTTACCAGTGAAGTTTAAACTGTCCGAGCAACAAACACAAAATCGAATATTTTACATTCATTAGCTTTTCCTGATGAAAATATATATAAAAAAACATATAATACAAGACAAGTTCCTACATATCACAGCAATCGGTATCATTTCCATGCTCTATATCAAAGGAATATTTTCGTTTATCCGGCGTAKCAACAGTAACTAGGGAGGTAGGATAATGAATCGGGAATTGCCAGTTGCGAAAAAGGTTGGCAGCGTGAGTATTTGTCATGAGTAAATATCTTGGATGTCATAAAACTTCAAAAGGTTCAAGCTTGAACTTACTTTAGTGTCATTACTTTAGACTCAATAAATTCCGTGTCCCCAAATAGCTCTGTAAAGATCTACAAAGTAATCGTAAAATGTAATTGTAAGTGTAAATAAATAGAGAAATTACTTCCGGCATTTTCCAGCTTGTTAAGGTCGAACTAGACGACACAACTTTTGTCTACAACCATAGCATGCGACCATCCGTACAACATGGCTACAATTGTCGTGGGGCTATTAAACAAAATTTGTTATTATAAATTCCCACGACAATTGTGGCCATGTTGTAAGAATGACTTACGCACGTTGTATGCGATGGTTGTACAGTCTGATTTTGGCTTAAAGGAGTGCAGTCAACTTACCGCGTCTTGGATATTACCGTCCATCAATCGATATTGAGTTGATTCGTGTTCTGACATGTGGTGTAACCAATCACTTTTGAACTTGATTTCAACTTTCACAATTTGCGCTACAAGAGAAATAACGGGTAATGAATAATAATTTTCAAAGCACAAAAAAAAAATAACTAAAAAAATAAAAAATAGAAAAAAATAGAAAAAATAATAATAATTTTCAAAGCACGTTGTCATTATGAGCACGTAGTCCACTTTCTCGGAAATCCCTCTGTTACGCCTGAGAATGCACGTAGAGTCAAAAGAACTTACGTGGTCCAGTTAATAAGTCACGTCTCATTCTTGTTAACTTCTCTCTCAGAGCGACGAGTTTGAGTACGTCCACATCGCGCTTGTGTCTATTTAGCCATATTTTGTGCATAGTTTTGATGAGGACACTTCGACGAGATCTGTTAAGTACTTTTGTTTTGGATGCTAAAAACGTAATATGTTGTCAGATATAGACTAGGATATTACATGGGCGCGCGGATATACGGATTTTATCTTCAWGTGATGACTTCAACTCATGACTCTAGTTTTTTTGGTAGACGGTTACTTGATTGCATCACAACCATGTAAACTGTCACGCCTTCTTCAGTAGACCATAATCTTTCAAGGGACATACTCTGATACGGTGTCAATAAAAATGCATAATGGTCACTAATGTATTTACCTTGTGTTGATTGTGTTACCATAGCAATGGTCAGTAAAGTATAAAATATAAACAGCTTCATGACTATCTGCAATAACAAATCAAAATACAACATCTATCAGGATATTAGTATAATATTTCATATTGTTATTGGGTTTGGCATGAAAGGTTGGGAATATTAATCCCGTGTAAACATGTTATAGTCAGATGGTATATTAAACTTCGGTAAAAATCTTAATTTTGAGCGATGAAAATAAACTGTGAAGGCAAGAATGGACACAAAAATAATATTTGTATTTGACGTTGACGTGTAAGAGAATCGATGCGAAGTTTGGATTAGGCCGTTTAGTTTTACCAGACTAATTCAATTCGCCTACTTTCTATACTAAAACTGTAAAAAACTGTTTAAATTTCCTTTTCCTTGAAGATACTTAAGCCTGGTTTCCATATAATCGTTACAATCGCTAGGATCGCTGGAGAGTGTTTCCATATGATCGCTACGATTGTTGAGCCACATTTTCGGCGATCGTTGCGATCCTAGCGATTGTAACGATTATATGGAAACCAGGCTTTATTCATCACTATCATTCCACTAAAGCAGCTTGTGGAAGGAAATTACTCAAATATTTAATTACCTGAAATCACAGTCACTTATTATAAAAGTATCAACTCCAACAAAACTCGATTTTTTATGAAACAATCGCCATCATTCCAATGTAGTGTATGTATTCTAGCTACTAGAACCATACGGTATTTTAACGATTAGATTTATTGGAATTGCTGATAGGAATCCAACGCAAGTCGAACTCTCAACAGGTTATCACTTAGAATCACATCAAGCGTACGATGCAACTCCGTTAGGTTAAATTATAGCTTTCTTCAAATACAATTTTARAGATGTGAATGTAGTAAAAAAAAGTTTTAAATTTTGCAGAAAGTAGAATTGTAATAATGTTATAAGAGGCTATTTTTTTTTTTCAAATACTCAGAAGTACTGTAGTCAACATCGATGTTTCTAATGTTCTAAACATATTTTATGTAGAAATTCTTTAGAATATATTGCGTTAAGATTCAATAGTACATGTTGTTGAGTGTTGGATAAATCTAAAGAAGATAACTATAAAGTTTCAAATAATCATTTTTATCTGATCAGACTGAAATATTTGAAATGCGCTAAGTCAAGTGAATCAAGTTAAGGTTTCGCCAATGGTTCGTAAACAAAACTATCAACTGCTTTGAAAAAATAGTATTAAAACGAAATTGCACAGCAATATAAAGTCATGAATTTGTTCGCAAAAGAAATGTCAAAAATATCTGTCTTYCTGTTATTGTTTGGACCTTCCCCGATACCAGCGCTCGTCCAATTCTGTCAWTCTATAAACAACGCGACAATCAAAATGGCGAACGTTTGCTTTTTGACGGCAAATTCATTCCTTTTAATMCGACCAAGCTGACAAAAAGATGCATGAATAACCTTTCAGTTATTTTACAATTACTTTATAATATCGATTCATAGATTTACTCACCGTTTTCTTAAATTAAAATTGCCACAACAATTTGAATCGTGTTTTGAAATTGTGAAAAACTACAGTGGCTTTCAAGCGTCGACGTTACTGGGTCTTCCTTCCATTCTCTTGTGCCACACCAAATACCAACAAACGAAAATTCTTTAACTGCCTTGYTTTYTAGCCTTGAAAATGCAAGGGTTTTTTATATAAGTAAAATAAWAGGAAGATCCTAAACAAGATCCCAGTTTGAAAAGGAAAACGTCAAAGATGAATCCTGTGCATAATTGATGAAAACGACAAAGATCAACGAATCGGTGGCCACGTAAATACAAGGGCAACGACCTGCTCTTTCACCGGTGCCTTTTTTACGCTTGTCTACCTTATTTATGCATCCATGAACAACACTGAACAATAAACAGTGTCTAAAGACCTTGAACCGGTGCTTCTTTTGTATAAAACACGTCAAACAAATCACAATTTGGTGAAAGATCAAGTACTGTGAATGAGCAACAAACTGGCAAAGTTTGTGCAAGTTAGTTCTCATACAAGTTACAAAATGAAGCATTCATTTAATTGTATTTACGATATTTGTTTAAAAAACTCTGTTTTAAGTAAAGACTTCAGCTTCATTCAAGCTTTAATTTAATATCTTTAAAAATGTTTATGGCCGCTTTTAAGCTTTTTGTGTCAAAAGGTGGAATTTATGCATGGAATGTTTGSTTCACTAAAAGCTTTTCAAACTAATTATCTGACAAGCTGTTATTGGCTGTTTTTCGTGCAATAACCAGTAAATTCTCCGCCTTTGAATGTAACGATTATACCATCATGGCAAAATACAAAAGATTGACTGCAATAGCCATAACAAAAGTACAAAATTCATTGTAATTCTGGTGGTAAATTTGTCACTATTTAATTRAAAATTGTAATGCAGTATCAAAAGACATGAAAGCAAGTTCCGTGTTGTACTACTCTTATCAATTAAATGATTAAAGATAGTAGTTTTTGGCCAAGTGGGGGGTAAGTTTAGCCGTCCGTCCAATCAACCTGCTCTCGGCCTAATCATGCGAGCCACAGTCATTAGAGCGATGGAGCACCAACCATTTCTTCACCAGCTTTTCGACTGGTGAAATAACACTTTTCTGAGGAGATACTTGCTAATTAACTCAACTGAAAGCCTATGTCATGAACATGGGGCCCCTGTGCCATTTCTTCGAACCGAGGCTGTCAGTCCGAGTAATTTGCATTATCTAAATTATCCGGTGCAAAATTAAAAAAAGKATTTGAGGCGAAGAAATTTTGGAGAAAAAAATCAGAGTAAAGGAATATATATAGCACACTAAAATGAAAAAAACTATTTGAAAATGAAGGTCAGTTCTAGAAATTTCGTCGGTGATCTGGCCGTGTAATTATCTAACACCGCCCTAGTTTTCAATCTGATAGTTTAATGATTTTGTATGCACAAACAAGTATAGTCCACTTTTGCCTTGYTGCTGACAGATACTAGCCATCCCCAAAAACATCAAACAATATCTCAGTTGGTGTGAATATTACAATTCAGTCAAAATGTCTTATTCGCATCCTTCTGTTCTGATACCAAGACTTGATTTTAATTTTCAGTTGTAATTCATCTCTAATAACTTGATCGTGAAATTTAGTTTGTATAGACATACGCCTATGCCGGTGGAGTCCCGCATTAATTTTTGTATTTCTATAGATGATTTTATTAAGTGATGCGCTGCGTGTGCACAAACGAGTATATCGTTTAAGATACCTTTTAAAGGGAACTTCTAAATCAAACCGAGTTAGAAAATCATCGGCGGCCATACAGTGTGTAAGTAAGGAATCCCGCCCTAATTTCCGATCTGATGAATAGATGATTATGATGTGCCGCATTTGCACAAACAAGTATTTTTTGAAGATTCTTTTTGAAATGGAACTTGTAAATCAAAGCTAGGACGAAAATCTTCAACATTGGAATCCGGTCTAGTTTCAAAACCGATCGTTTTATGGATACTAAGACTGTGCGTGTTGAGAAATTCCTGTGTAATAATAATAAGTCAAACCATGCGCGCGCGTCTAAAATTTAAAGCCATCACTTACAAACCTGTATGAATAAGGAATCACGCCCTATTTTCCAATCAGACAGTTTTATAATTACGATGTACCGCGTTTGCATAAATAAGTGTTTAACTGATCTCAATTTGCATGGCTAAATCTAACCGAGCGCGCGCGATARAAATTAATTGCTCATGTACCTTATAAATAAGGTAATAAATTAAGATATTGATCATTATGTGTCTTGTTTGCTAAAATGAGATTCCTTAAATCAATTTAATTAAGTCCGAAAATCGTCCGTTCTGAACATAGTTAGTAGAGGGAGATCATCTCCCTCTGTTAACTATGTTCTGAAGGAAGCCAGTTCTAATGTTGAATTTATCATTTTTTGCGTGTTAAAATTTCAAATAGCATTTTACGGCTGTTTACCTGGGCTGCCTGTGTTTTTTCTCCATTATCTCCTTCGCCTGATGTCTCTAATTCTTTCACATCCTTCTAATAGAACAAAAAAAAAATTTGACCATTTTACATTTAACGATTTCCTGAAAAAGAAACGAGTTGCAAGGATTTTTAAAGAAGCTGTCAAATCGGGGTCCCTGTGTTATTATTGTGGAACGCCTGGTTGTTTTCCTCATTTCGTAGAACAGTTCAACTACATGCAAGTGTTTTCTGTTGTGGTTTTATCTTTATCGTTGTCAGATGTTCTGATGTCGTGGCATCCATGACCTAGAATAACACAAACAAAGCCCTCCTGTTATATTTGAAGTCTGTCATCAATGGATTTGATTTGTACCACAACTAGATATGGGTTTTATCTCGAATCCTCTGCACAGCTTCAATCGGCCTTCATCRACATGTTTACTCTGTTTATTAATCTAGTATCGCTTTTCAAGTGAAAACGAGATCAATTAAAACAAMATCCACACAGGTTTCGGCGCAGATGGAGGTGACTGTGATAATTGAACTTTTTGATAAGTTAACCGTTAACGGCACTGACTTCCTACGCTCCAGATAGCCTAAAGGGTGTCACACTGACAGMGATGAAGACCGGCAGAAGGGCTTGCTTTCTTTTCGTACTTGTCTTAGTCTTGGTATCAATTTATTGGAATGTTAAACCGAGCACAAGTGGAAGTCATTCAAGAACGAAACTCAAGGAAGATCTTGCAGTTACGGTAAAAGTTGGGAAACAGGCCTTGAATCACGGGGAAGAGTCGATCACAGCACAGTACATTAAACTGGATAAAACTACAATTTCTCCAAATCCACCTGAMAAGTATAGTTTATTACGAAAACGACTTTTCCAGGTATGTTTGATGGTTAAGTATTATTACTTGAAGCAGATTCAAAGCACCATTAATAAATAGTATCGAGGTCATACCTTTTCAGTTCAACGTCCATTGATCGCACAGATCCGTATCTGTCGGCCTCTCGCCTTTGAAGATAAGATTTGTATCAGACATTTTTGCATCCATATATCTTCGCACATGAAAATGAAATTATTGTMTYWGAATTTTTCAGGAAAGAGCACTTYTTTTAAATTGTAAYCACTTTTATGTTTAAAAATTGTTTGAAGAATAAAAGTTTGCCTTATAGTTAATAAAAAATTGTATTTTGAATTGGTGATAAGTTGATGAAATGATTGTTGTCTTTTGTTGTGGTGTTGTGCATTGATGCACTTACCATGGCAAATACATTTTAAACGTGTCCTTGAATTATTCTCTTGAGATATTTTGTTTTAGTACATAACTACTGTTCATTTTAATATTTCCTTTTTCCTACCAGTAAATTTGTAGAATTAAGTTTTGAAAACATAAAATGCTATGATTTTGCTAGGGAATACTGTTGACAATTCACTCAAGCATTGTCTATGCAAAAACAGYATGGAATTCATTATTTTGACAAGATATTGCTAAACAATTAAACATTAAATTTTTTTGTCATGGGTCAAGATTTTTGAGTTTTAGAAATATTTCATAGTATTTCCTAATCTAGGAATCAAGAAATGCAATATTCAACAGAGATTGAGTTTCAATTTAAACTTGAGCTGTTTCCTAATCAAATAGAGACAAAGTTTGTTTATTTACCATAATTGTAAGATTCTTGACATTTTGAAGGCTCCTTGAGAGAATTCTCAAGTGAGAAGCCAAATTATATTTTTAACACCATTGATACTTTATACAAACTGAATGTTATCATATTTGTCATAAGCAGATATTGGCTGATTGACTCAAGAGAATGTCAATTAGACCAACTGAGGTCTGATATCATGAGCATATTAAAATTAATTATGATAAGAAATTTTAAAATGGTGAAGCCATTTAATGTGTGTATTTGAAAATAACTTTTGTGTCCTATTACATTTATTCAACATGGTCTGACAGAAAGCATGAATTACACAAGCAATATGCCATAATTTGATCATGAAGAACGTTTTGCTCAAATTGGTCTGCAACCTCCACATGGAATCATAGCTTATCATAACTTAATTAGAGTTTATGAAGGGAAAATTTGGATGGCTTTCCATGTACACTCAAAAAAAATATGTCTTGCTTCTTTGCATATCTTAAGAACTAACAAATGGAAATTGAACTTTAAAATGGACTGTTCAAATACTCTCAARTTAACATTTTTTCCATAATTTTCAAATAAAGTGAGATTCAATTTCCAGTCTGCTTAAACCACAAATTGATATTTAACACTAAGAGCCTTTTAAAATGTGGTATTGACTATGTGGTATGTCTATCAATTGTACATCTAGCTGCATCTGACTGCAGACTTTTTTCAGCAGTTGAGTRTCAAAATAGATTCTACATGTTGACTGTATTTCTACTGACATTTGAAGTCAACGTTTGTGCCTTACTCCCCTAGTGAGAAATATCTTACAAAAACACATCTATTTTTATCCTTGTACTTTGGCACTTGTATTTCTACATAATAGAACTGCAGATCTATTATAATATGAATTGATATAACTAATGTCAAGCTCTTAAACTTTCATAAACAAAAAAAATATAAAATAATATTAAAAGTAGTTTCTACCTGAGCCTTCTCTGCACACAATCTTTGTCCTTTCTAAATTTTAATTTTAAAAGGGCTTTTGATGACTTAGATCAGTGAGAGAACTGGACAAAATTATAACAAAAAACGGATAGTTTGGATGCATGCATGTAGGAGCTGGCCATTTCTACCTGATTGTTGCC